TGCAGGGAGGAAAAATTATGTAAACCTTTGGACTTAATAACTGGTTGGCCCTCCTTTGGCAGCAATAACCTCAACCAAACGTTTCCTGTAGTTGCAGATCAGACCTGCACAACGATCTGGAGTAATTTTGGACCACTCCTCTTCACAAAACTGTTTCAGTGTAGCAATATTCTTGGGATGTCTGGTGTGAATTGCTCTCTTAAGGTCATGCCACAGCATTTCAATCGGGTTGAGGTCAGGACTCTGACTGGGCCACTCCAGAAGGTGTATTCTGTGCTGTTGAAGCCATTTGTATGCTTTGGGTAATTGTCCTGTTGCATCACCCATCCTCTGCGGAGCTTCAGTTGGCGGACAGATGGTTGTACGTTTTCCTGCAAAATGTCTTGATAAACTGTGGAATTCATTTTTCCATCAATGACAGCAATCCGTCCAGGCCCTGAGGCAGCAAAGCAGCCCCAAACCATGATGCTCCCTCTGCCATGTTTTACAGTTTGGTGTGCTGTGCCTTTTTTTTCTCCACACATAGTGTTGTGTGTTCTTCCCAAACAACTCAATTTTGGTTTCATCTGTCAGTATATTTTGCCAGTAGTGCTGTGGAACATCCAGGTGCTCTTTTGCAAACTTCAAATGTGCTGCAATATTTTTTTTGGACAGCAATGGCTTCCTCCGTGGTGTTCTCCCATGTACTCCATTCTTGTTTAATGTTTCCCTTATTGTAGATGTGTCAACAAAAATGTTAGCATGTGCCAGAGATTTCTGTAGGTCTTTAGCTGACACTCTAGGATTCTTCTTTACCTCATGAAGCATTCTGTGCTGTGCTCTTGCAGTCATTTTTACAGGACGACCAAGCCTAGGGAGAGTAGCAACAGTGCTAAACTTTCTCCATTTGTAGACAGTCTGTCTTACCATGGACACATGAACATCAAGGCTTTTGGAGATACTTTTGTAACCCTTTCCAGCTTCATGCAAGTCAACAATTTTTTTTTTTATTGAAAAAGTTTTACAAATACAAATTTTTCCATTCCCCCCCCCCACTTTCCCTCCCTAACCCTCCCTAGCCCTCCCCTCCTCCCAAGACTTCCGCAAGGTGAAATCCAAATCCAAATCCACATCATATTATATCATACTTTACCACCCTTCTAATCTCCCCCCTGTGTACAATACATTTCTACATAACATTGAACTATTCTGCCCCCTATATACTGTACATTTCTACACAACATTCAACTAAAAGCTATCTGATACTTCCTAGTTTGGTATTTATTCTGCACATAATCTACCTCAACAATTCTTGATCGTAGGTCTTCTGAGAGCTCTTTTCTGCGAGGCATGGTTCACATCAGACAGTGCTTCTTGAAACCAGTAAACCCAAAACAGATGTGTGTTTTTACAGGGCAGGACAGCTGTCAGCAACACATCCAATATCATCACACTGATTGGAGTCAAGGTTGGCTCACTCCTAGCTCCAATTAGCTCTTGGAGAAGTCATTAGGCTAGGGGCTCACATACTTTTTCCTCCCTGCACTGTGAATGTTTACATGTTATGTTCAATTAAACCATGGCAACATCTAATGTTTGTGTAGTATTATTTTAAGCAGACTGTGTTTTTCTGATGTGTTGTGACTTAGATGAAGTTCAGAGCACATTTTATGACCAATTCTTGCAAAACTCCACGTAATCCCAAGGGGTTCACATACTTTTTCTTGCAACTGTATATTTTTTCCTTCCAGGATTCTGTAACCTCCAGACATCATATATACCAAATTCCTCTTTTATATTCTCACATATCCTTGGTAGTATCCTCTTCACATCTCTCCCTCCTCCTTTCCTTTTCCCCAGGACATAATCTTTGGCCTTATCTATAATAGCACTGAAATCACCCAGCAGGCAAATATATTCATATTCCATTTCTGCAAATTTGTTATATAAATTTTCATAAAATGTCCTTTGGTTACAGTTGGGAGCATAAATTCAAACTAATAGACACTTCTGCTGACCAATCGCCAATTCCACCATTAATACTCTACCTTCCTGATCTGCGAATATTTTCTTGGCCACCAAATGATGCTGCACATAAATCACCACTCCTCTTTTTTTTTGATCAGCTAATGAGGTAAATTTTTTACCTAATCTAGAATTTTCTAATAAGCTATCTTGAGACTTTTTTATATGTGTCTCTTATAAACAAATAATATCATATTTACATTTTCTTAATTTATTCATTATCATTTTTCTTTTAATAGGAGCGTTTAAACCAGTGGTTCTCAACCTGTGGGTCGGGACCCCTTTGGGGGTCGAACAACCCTTTCACAGGGGTCGCCTAAGACCATCGGAAAACACATATTTTCAATGGCCTTAGGAATAATTTTATGGTTGTGGGTCACCACAACATGAGGAACTGTATTAAAGGGTCACGGCATTAGGAAGGTTGAGACCCACTGGTTTAAACCATTAAAGTTTACCGATAGCAAGCGTACATTTTCTCCCATCCCTTTCCTCCTAGTCAGCCCTTACTTTCCTGCTGTTTGGACTTTTTTCGTCTGTCTTGTTTCTCTTTGCACCGTCGCTGTTCCTCCTCTTCTTCGGTCCTCCTTTCTGTTCTTTCTGTCATATTTACCTTCACCAGTTCTCATATTATCCTCTTCCTGAGACTCCTCCAAACTTCTACTTTCTACCTCCTCCTCCATATCCAAATTTGCCATATTAAGTTGTTGTTCATAAAACTCTTTTGCATCCTGCAAATTCCTTATTCTGATTCGTCTATCTCGCCAAGTTACCAACAATCCTTCCGGTAGGAGCCAACGGTAGGGTATTGCATTCTTCCTCAAATGTAAAGTGAGGAATTGGTACCTCCTTCTCTGCTCTCTGACCCATCTCGGAATTTGCTTTAGGATCATCACTTGGTGGTCCCTATAAGTAATAGTCTGGTCTCTCGTGCGTTGGAAAAATTCCTTGCATAGGGCCTTCTTATTAAAACGCACATGAACTTCACATGGGAGATTGTGCCTCTTCGCATAACTAGTGATCACCTGAATACTTCATCGATATCACATTGTACTGAGGCTCTGCCTACTTCCAGGGCTCCTGCTACCATCTCCCCCACAATCTCGTCCAGTCTCTTTCCCTTATCTTCTGCCACGTTCTGCCAGAAAAAAGGAGGATCTTTCCATCTCGAGAAAGATGATCTCATCTTCAAGCTCCCTGTTAGCCATCACTTGTTTTTTTCCCTTCCATCTATCCGTTGTTCATACTTTCTGTCCTTGTCTCCACCTCCCGCATCCTTTCCTCTTGTTTAATTATTGCCTGTTGCAGTTCTCCAAGCTTCTCACCCATTTGTTTAATCTCTTCTCTGACTCCTCCCATCTCACTCTTAACATCCGTTCTCAAGTCTTCGAAATTCCTAAAGATTATTTCCTGATTCTTGATTATTGAATCCTGGATAGTCTGGAGCATAGCTTGGAGAGCCTGCATAGAGGGAGACTTTCCAACCGATGAGATATCTTCAGCAGATCTTGTTGAAGCCAATGGAGATGCAGATGCAGGGAAAGCTAGGGTCTTCTTATTCACTTTAATAACGGTAGACGTTGTGGACATTTCTGGGTCCCCCCTCTCTGAATCTCTCTGTCTCTCCCTCTCCCTCTCTCTCTGAAAGTTGACGCTGGGCCAACCCGACGAGCTCTCCTTGGGGCTCTTCGTTACGCCTTTTCTTCTTGGCAACATTTTGGAAATCCGGACTGGCTGAGGAACGAGTGTGAGCCGCGGTGGAGGCTTCCCTGAAGATGACCCTCCTCCTCCTCTTGTGACCCCCTGGCTGGCTGTGGTGGGGTCGGGAAGGCACGCACAAGTGGGGAGACCCTCAAGCAAGCAGCTGGGCTCAGCCAAAGCACAACAAAGGCATGCGGGGCGGGCGGGTTGACTAACTGTTGGGTGACCATCTTTGGCGAGGGCGCTCCGGCTTTCTCCAAGCCTGACTCCCAGGGTGGGCGTGCGAGGTTTGGCAGGACCAGCCCCCTTTTCCCGCTGCCCTGAGCTTCTTTACTCCTCCAGCAAAGCATTGCCGCCACCAGCTTTGATTGAAAAGTGTCTTCTAGGTGGCGAAAACTATCCCATGCAAGTTTTAAAGCCTCAGCTCAGCGCTGTGGGCCCATCCCCCTTTCCGTCGTCTCCTCCTCCTGGATCCCATTCCCACCCTGCCAGCCCTTGTGTTAGTGAGGCTGGCATCAGTCACGGCTGGGTCGGACCAATGTCTCAGGGCGAAGAGCAGGTTGCGTATCTCCCCAAGTGACCAAGGCATGCCCAACAAGGGCCGGAAAAAGCACCAGCAAGAGATGAGGCAATAGAGAATCAGCCCCGGCCACTTCTCTATCCCCCGCTGTCGCCCTTATCTTTTCAGGCTAGGCGAGGAGTGACTGGGAGGACAGGGCAAGGGGCGGGGCCAGCCAGTGGTGGGGGTCACCCAACAGGGAGCCACAGCAAAGGGCCCAAAGGGAGCTGCATGCGCAGGTTGCTGACACCCAGTTTAACAATAGCACTTAGACTTATATACCACTTTACAGTGCTTTACAGCCATCTCTAAGCGGTTTTACAGAGTTAGCATATTGCACCCAACAATTTGGGTCCTCATTTTACCCACCTTGGAAGGATGGAAGGCTGAGTCAACTTTGAGCCTGATGAGATTTGAACTGCCAAATTGCAGGCAGCCGGCAGGCAGCAGAAGTAACCTGCAGTACTGCACTCTAACCACTGCGCCACCGTGGCTCAGTGCCAGGAGCAAAAAACTGACTTAAAGACAGACAAACAGATTAAAGAACTTCATTTCATTCCTATAGATTTTTACTTCTGACTCTCAAAATCTTTCATCTACTGAAGTTAGTAAGCACCTAACATTTTTCTTATTCAGAACTTCAAATACACTTTCAGCCTCCATAATCCAACCAGTAGCTATCCAAACAGCAACACAACTAATAGCTATATTTTTGATACAACTGAGCAGGGATTACCTTTACAGCATATTCCATATTTGTGGTTTTATGTATACATCTCTTGCAAATGGAATAGGATCCAACTCCTATATCTTGTTTGACTTCGTATCCGTCAGTAAACTGAATGCTGTTCCTGTGCAACTGCTACCAAAATAATATTATTAATTAATGAGTTCTCTTAGCTCCTTGTATTAAAATATCTTAAATGTACAGAATATTCACAGGAAAATTTGTACTAAATTTAAAATAAAATGAATCTACTTTTTATTTTGTTGCCAGAACGCTCATGTTCACACATACTAAATAGTGTTTAAATACACTGAGGGAGATAAATGATAATTTTATAATGAACAGTTAAATGTTAAAGTATCTGATCTTAATCATAACAAAAAAATGGCTATATGTTTTAATAAAAAACAGCAAGGCAAAACACATCTATGATGAACATTTATAAATTGTTTAAATGAATTTAAATAAAATGTATGCACAGAGTAAGAAAGTTACAAGTCGTGATTCTTTGTTCATTTTGCAAGGGAATGACTTACATGCTAAAAGCAATTCCTCACTAGTGACTAAGGAGCAATTTCATAGCATCCCTTACCCATTGTGGAAATGATGCTAAGCATCACCTCACTGCTATTATTTAGGCATAAGAATGGTTGGATAACTCAAAAAAATGCTAAAAGTCACTAAATATGTAGTAATGTTTAGGATTTTTATGTTCTTTAGCATTTCAGATTTTGTAAACTGTAATCACTAAAAAAAATTGTATCTACAAGTACTGTATCGAATTAGATCGCTGCATAGTTTATATTGTTCAAGTCAGCTATACAAGTAACTTCCAAAGCAATTTTTACACATGTAAAACATCTTTCTATAAGCATTTTACATGTAGCCATTTGTATTCAAAACTATGCAAGTGATGTTTCTTCTATGAATGTTGGCTTAGATAACAGTAAATCTAAAAATTCTTCATTAAGAACATTCACCTGAACTATTGAATGCCCACCAGATGTCTGCATAGCTTGATTTTCATCATCTGATGCAATAGCTACAAAACTGAAACCCCGGAAAAGCTGGTGAGCATTAGCACTTGGTGGAATACCAGGTGAATCTGCAAAAAATACATTGGTAAGTATGTTTAATAAGTTTTATAAGTATTTAAGAAAGCTCATAATAAAAAATAAACTATAACAGCAATAAAAATGTAAAAATATTAACTAAATTGCAATACATTTCAAACATTAAATTTTTAGTTGGCTGACAGGTCAGATATCTGACATAATATGTTTTTCTGAAAGGCTAATAGGAAGAGAGAGAGATGAGACTTCCAAGAGAATAAATTCCAAAATTTGGGCAAATTGTAGTGTACAAAGGAAAGCCTGATGACTCATGATACATTTAAGTTACAGTAAATTACAAGGAGAGCTATCTCGCATTTAATGCAAAATCATGAAAAGGGTTTCTTTCAATATACAAGGACTGCATATGATAGCATGAACACTATGGCAAAGGTTTTTTTTTATAAAATTTAATATATCTGTGCCAGAGAAAAATTAAAATAATATACCGTATTTTTCGGACTATGCTTCAAAGTATAAGACACACCTAGCTTTTTGGGAGGAAAAAAAAAGGGGGGGGGGAAATCTGCCTCTGCCTCCCAGCAATTTACCTCCTTGCAGCGAACAGCCTGGTCAGCTTCAGCATAGCCTGATTTAGCACAAGCAGCTGATTGGTGGTTGGATTGGCCTCCTGGAATACTGCCTATCAGCTGTTCCAAGCTGCAGGGATCGCCACTGCTCGTCGCTGCCGCCTATCACTGCCTCTGCGCACCCCATTTTCGGCCTCCGTGCATCGTGTTTTTGGCCCGTTCCAGGAGGCGGGGATCACTGCCGTCGTCTATCTCCACCGCCTGGAATGAGCGAAAAATGGGGCACGTGGAGGCAGCAATAGGTGGCAGCAGCAATGGGCAGCAATGGGTGGTGGCGATCCCTGCAGCCTGGAACAGGTGACAGGCAGTATACCGGGAGGCCGATCCAACTGCCAATCAGCTGCTTGTGCTAACTCAGGCTGTGCTGAAGCTGACCAGGCTGTTTGCTGTTTGCTGCAAGGAGGTAAATTGCTGGGAGTCAGAGGCCGAAGGGTGGGGGTCGGTGGGTGGGCGGAGCTTATTCGCTGTATAAGACATTTCCACCCACTTTTTGGGGGCGAAAAAGTGCATCTTATACACCGAAAAATACGGTATATACTAAAATGTCTTTTATATAGGTTGACTTAGCCTTCCATCCTTCCGAGGTGGGTAAAATGAGGACCCAAATTGTTGGGGGCAATATGCTGACTCTGTAAAACCGCTTAGAGAGGGCTGTAAAGCACTGTAAAGTGGTATATAAATCTAAGTACTATTGCTATTGCTATAGTATATATTTTACCTTTTGGCGTTTTTGCTGTAAATTCAGGATCAAAATAAAAAGTGTCCTCAGGTCTGCCAGTTGCAGGTTTAAATGGTGGATTAATTTCTCTTCTGTACAATTTCTAAGGTAAACAAAATTTTAATATATTACAAATATACATAGTCCTTGAGTTACGACTGTAATTGAGCCTGCATATTACAGTTGTAAGTAGTGATGGTCATAAAGTGGGTTACCACATAACCAAATCTGATTTAAGACTTTTGCAACAGTCCCTAAGCGAACATCATGGTTGCTAAGCAAACCCATTATTCTTTATGGAGTGGATTTTGCTGGAAATAAACACCTATTTTTGACAAAAATGGCTCGAATTGCAGTTATGTGACCACAAATGGTACAAACAACTGTAAATGTGGGCTGGTTTCCAAGCGCTCAAAATATGGGGGGCGGGGGGGGGGGGGGGGGAATAGGAAATCCGGAGAGAAAAGTTATTTTGGTTGGGGGGGGGGGCGTATCCATCGTAACTTGGAACAGTAAGCATGATATATTTCTTATAATAGTGAATGCTTTTATTGATTTGTGTACTTACATTCCAGTCTATTGTGGTGAAAAATGGATGCCTCTTAATTTCCTCAACTCCATCGGGACCTGCTCCTATTAGAAGTTATAAACAAAAACAATATCAAAAACTCCTTAGATCAGTGGGTCTCAACCTTCCTAATGCCGTGACCCTTTAATACAGTTCCTCATGTTGTGATGACCCCCAACCATAAAATTATTCCTAAGGCCATTGAAAATGTGTGTTTTCCGATGGTCTTAGGCGACCCCTGTGAAAGGGTTGTTCGACCCCCAAAGGGGTCCCGACCCACAGGTTGAGAACCACTGCCTTAGATGATCATTTGATTTATTGTTGAAATCTTAATTAGATAACTTTAATAGTCTACCTAATCTATTTGCAGGATTTCTTTTGAAAAGCATTCGAAGAAGACTCTGAGCTTCTGGACTTAAAAACTGGGGCATTCCAAGTTTGGCTCTGTAAAATAAAATAAATTAATAATTTAGAAACATAAATGATATTAATCTATTTTAGTTTATTACTGTAGGATACTGTATTTTAACTATACGTTAAATAATTGATATTAATAGCCACTGTTTCCACTGACTGGAATGATTTTTCACTATTCTGCTGCCTGTCATCATATGAGCTTCAGGTCAGGTGGAGATGGTTCAAATAGCTTCCATACAGACTGAGACAGGGGAAAGAGAGGCTGAAGAGTGAAAAGTAGAACATGACGAAAAAAAAATGTTCTCATGATATTGAATGCTCTCTCTTATCTGGAAATAAATTGTTAATAGTTTAACTTTAACAGTATGTCATAGTATGTCATAAAATGGCAGCATTAATCCATTCTTTATTTTAATCAATTTATTTGGCTGCCAATCTTGTAAACATGACTAAGCAACATCATATAGAGCACAGAAAGGGAGTAAGAAATAGTAATTAAAGGCATGAGATAAGAAAATGAGAAATACAGCTACATCAAGTTTGCAGTACATCACTTGCTACTTCATGCTTTTCTATGCTTGTTTCTACTACATTCATAAACAATTCCATACATTTCTTTTAGCAATGTTTTTGTTTTTTAAATAAAAACTTATTCCTAAATTTTGTATTCATTCAGCACCTATTCATTCTTGACCCTCTCTTCTTTTATTTATTTATTTATTTGTTTTATTAAACTTGTATGCCGCCCTCTCTCCCAAAGGACTCAGGGTGGCTCACAATGATAAAAACACATAAAATTCAATATACAAATATAAAAACCAATAAAATCCCTTTAAAAAACCCCTTCAGTCCAATCTGGCCAGGCCAAATAGCCATGTTTTGAGGTCACGGCGGAAAGAGCGAAGGCCAGGGGCCATCCGGAGCTCCAGGGGGAGCTGATTCCACAGAGTAGGCACACCCACAGAGAAGGCCCACTCCCTGGGAGTCGCCAGTCGACACTGTCTGGCCGACGGGACCCCAAGGAGGCCCTCCCTGTGAGAACGCACCGGGCGATGGGGAGCTGTCGCTGGGCGCAGATGGTCCGCCAGGTACCCCGGGCCTTAGCCATGTAGGGCTTTATAGGTGATTACCAGCACCTTGAATCTCACCCGGAGGGCAACTGGTAGCCAATGCAGGTCCCGCAGGAGGGGTGTAACGTGAGTGTCGGAACATTCCCATCACTACCTGGGCGGCCGCATTCTGCACCAGCTGAAGCCTCTGGGTGATCTTCAAGGGCAGCCCCATGTAGAGAGCATTGCAGTAGTCGATCCGGGAGGTGACGAGCGCATGAGTGACTGTACGCAGGTCATCACGGTCCAGGTAGGGGCACAACTGGAGCACCAGACGAATCTGAGCAAAAGCCCCCCTGGTCACGGTTGTAACATGATCGTCCAGAGTCAACCGTGAATCCAGGAGGACGCCTAGATTGCGCGCCCTTTCTACAGGGGGCAACACCTCACCCCCTATAGCCAACGATGGAGTATTCTCCTGGAATCGCGATGCCAGTATCCAGAGCCACTCTGTCTTGGCAGGGTTGAGCTGAAGCCTGTTCCTTCCCATCCAGAGCCGCACCGCTTCCAGGCACCAGGACATCACATCGAGGGCATCACTGGGCTGGTTCGGAGTGGATATAAAAAGTTGGGTATCATCAGCATACTGATGATACCCCACCCTGAAACCACGGATGATCTACCCCAGCGGCTTCATATAGATGTTGAACAGAAGGGGAGAGAGAACCGACCCCTGAGGGACCCCACACGTGAGGGGCCTCGGGACCGACCTCTGCTCCCCCAACATCGCTTGCGAACACCCAGAGAGGTAGGAGGAGAACCATCATAACACAGTGCCTCCCACTCCCAACCCCTCAAGGCACCGCAGCAGGATACCATGGTCGATGGTATCAAAAGCAGCCGAGAGATCTAATAGGACCAGGACAGAGGAATGTCCCTTGTCCCGAGCCCTCCAGAGATCATCCACCAGCGCGACCAATGCCGTCTCCGTGCTGTATCCGGGCCTGAAACCCGACTGGTACGGGTCCAGATATATTGCTTCATCCAGGGCCAACGGGAGCTGACGTGCCACCACGTTCTCAACAACCTTCGCAATAAAGCGAAGGTTGGAGACAGGACGGAAGTTATTCAAAATAGCTGGATCCAGACTAGGCTTCTTGAGGAGGGGTCTCACCACCGCCTCCTTCAAGGTGGCCGGGAAATTCCCCTCACCCAAGGAAGCAGTTATCATTGCCTGGATCCAGCCACGTGTGACCTCCCGGGCCAAATAAACGAGCCAGGAGGGACATGGGTCCAGCACACACGTGGTGGTACTCAGCTTCCCCATGATCCTGTCCACTTCCTCGGGAGTAACAGGATCAAACTTGTCCCAAATCACCAGACCCATCGCCACCTCCCTCACCAACTCTGCCCAGTCAGAGTCCAGCCCCTCCCAAATCTGAGCGATCTTATCTCACAGGTGTTCACTAAATTCCTCGACCCGCCCCCACATAGGGTCATCTTCCGCTCCCTGATGCAAAAGGGAGCGGGACACCCTAAACAGGGCGGCCGGGCAATTCTCTGCGGACGCGATGAAGGCAGAGAAGTAAGCCTACTTCGCCACCTCCATCGCCACCAGATAAGATCGGGTAAAAGATCTCAACTGTGATCGGTCAGATTCGGAATGACTGGACCTCCAACAGCTCTCCAGACCTCTCCTCCGACACTTCATCTCCCGGAGCTCCTCAGTAAACCAAGGAGCCAACCGGGATCTGCGTCGGGTCAGAGGTCACAAAGGCACAACCTGGTCAAGAGCTCCGGCAGCCGCCTTTTCCCAGGCATCCACCAGAGTCTCGACTTTTCCCCACATATATCAAATATATTGTTTACATTGCATTTGACTTACTTTATGTTTCTTCTGATCTAACTCATAAGGTGAATCAGAAACACTCTTACATATAGCACTTTCATTCTTTACCTCATACTATCCATTTCCCTTGAGTTTATTTCTCTTCCATTCTCCCACCTTTACTAAATATGTAGCATAGTACATATTAATAAAGTACATATAGTTTGTACTTTACCTACTAACTTTAGTTTCTTCCCATTTGACGATAATATGCTCTCTCTTTGGCCATTTTAGTAGCAACTATGAGAGTGGGTCTTTTTAAATTATTGAACATCAGCCAAATTCAACAGTTTCCATCTACTGACATTTTTAAGTTCAGGCTCTGGTGATATGTTGTCCAGACTAAAATAGTCAACAGGCAGGCTCTTTTATTATCTCTCAATCTAACTCCAGAAGTTGCAGTATACATTATTTTGGAACTAATTTTTCCTATATTTTCACTTGCCGCAGGGTTAAGAAGGGAGCACAATTTAAACTCTTTGTAGTAATTGTTAAAGCTCTGCAGCTAGCCTTGCTCACTAACTGTACCAGCTCCTGTTTTGGTAGGATCCTGTTTAAATAATACAATCAGTGGTACAGAAGCCTTTTCTTATTACCCTTCTGCATGTTGTTGCACCTTAGAATAGAATAGAGCTGGAAGGGATCTTGGAGGTCTTCTAGTCCAGCCCCATGCTCAAGCAGGAGACCTTATACCATTTCAGATAAGTGACTGTCTAATCTCTTCTTAAAAAACTCCAGTGCTGGAGCACCCATGATTTCTGAAGGCAAGCTGTTCCACTGGTTAATTGTCCTCAGTGTTAGAAAGTTTCTCCTTAATTCCAGTTTGCTTCTTATTTTGATTAGTTTCCAACCATTGCTTCTTGTCCTGCTCTCTGGTGCTTTGGAGAATAATTTGATCCCCTCTTCTTTCTGGCAGCCCCTCAAGTACTGGAATACTATTATGTCACCCCCAATTCTTCTTTTCTTTAGACTAGCCAAACCCAGATCCTGCAGCCATTCTTCATATGTTTTAGTCCCCAGGCCTTTGATCATCTTTGTTGTTTATTTATACATGTTAAATTTGGCTGATGTTCAATAATTTAAAAAGTCTCTCTCTCACAGTTGATGTTAAAAGGACCAAAGAGAGAGCATATTATCATCAAATGGGAAGAAACTAAAGTGAGTAGGTGAAGTTCAAATTATATGTACTTTATAAATATGTACTATGCTACATATTTAGTAAAGATGGGAGAATGGTAGAAAAATAAACTTGACCTTGAGTAAAAAATCCTTCCTACCTATTCCACTTTATGCGTTTTTAGATGCATTTAAGAAATATTTGAAAATCTTTTTATATAATAAAGCCAACTGGTGCAAGTGGTTATAAGCCAATGCTGAGAATAGCAATAACCCTTTGACTTATATACTGCTTCGCAGCCCTCTCTAAGTGGTTTACAGAGTCAGCATATTTCCCCCCTACAATCTAGGTCCTCATTTTAATGACCTCGGAAGGATGGAAGGCTGAGATAACCTTGAGCCGATGAGAATTGAACTGCCAAATTGCAGTCAGCAGAAGTAGCTTGCAGTACTACATTCTAACCACTGCACCACCATGGCTCGTTTTTCTGTACATCTTTTTTTTTTTAAAATAAAGTTTATTTTCATTTTTAAAAATACTTTACATATATACATACAAGGTTATTGCAACTAATGTACACAAATCTGCGCCTATACCACTAATACAATCCATTTCATTTCCCTGTCTTTTCTTTCACCCAATTATACCATAAATTCCAACATTTGTAATAATCAGAATCTTTTTGGTTCCTAAGTAGTTTCGTTAACCGGTCTGCCTCTGCGCATTCTGTAATTTTCCAAATCAATTTATTTTCTGTGGGTATTAATTCGTTTTTCCATTCTTGCGCGTATAGTATCCTAGCTGCAGTAGTGATGTGGAGGATCAAATACCATTTTTCCTTAGTTATTTTGTCTGGTTTCATTTCTAATAAAAAAAGCTGGTTTCAGCTCTATATTATATCCTGTAATTTCCACCATCCAGTTCCGAACCTTGGACCAATATTTGCCTGCTTTGGGGCACATCCACCATTGGT